AAAGAACAGGGTAAAGGGCGTTAGGATTTGGAGGGGTGCAGGTTACGTTTTTAAATAGGTTAGTCCGAGTGAGTCCCTTTGGGAAGGTGACATTTGAGCAAAACGTGAAGAAAGTGAGTTAATCAAGCAAATATCTGGGGTAGGAGCATCCCAGGCAGAGAAAATAGGTAGAGGAAAGAACTTAAGGTGGAAACGTGCCTGATGTATTCGAGAAACAAGAGGCCAGTGAAAGCAAAGAAGAAAGTGAATGAAAAGGGAAAGTAAGAAGTCAGAGGAAAATGGAGGCCAGATCATGTCATGTCTTGTAGGTCATTTGAACAATTTTGCCTTTTACTCTGAGTAAAATCAGAAGCCACAGCAAGTGTCGGGCAGAGGAGCAACGTCACCTGCCTTGCGCTTTCATCTTTGCCATAGTACATTGGCTGTTGTGCTGAGAGTAGACAGTAGGGAGCAAGGATAGAAGCAGGAAGAGCTGCTGGCAAGATGGCCTGAAGGCAGATGAGAGATGATAGAACTCAAAGCAAACGTTAGCAGAGGAAGGGTGAGATGTGGTTGGATTTTGCATATTCTTTGAAGTGAGGACTTGCTAGCTAAATGGCAAGTCGAGTGCGAACAAAAGAAGCAGAGGATATCTGAACAAAGGCATGAACCGGAAGGACAAAGCAGCCATCAACGGAGGTGAAGGCTGCAGCTAGAACAGGAAGGAGAAAGAGGAAATTGGGAAGTTCAGGTTTGGACATGAGTTTAAGATGTCTTTTAGGCGTCCAAGCAGAAAGTTGAAATGAGAAGTTCAGTATAATTGAAGTTTGGAAGAAAGATGCAGGCTGGAAATACTGGTCCTCATCAGGCTACTGATGGTATTTAAAGCCATAAGACTGCATGAGATCACCAAGGAACTGAGTGCACATAGAGAAGAAAAGAAGACCCAAGACTGGGACCTCTCATGTGCCAACATTAAGACAGCAAGTTGAGGGAAAGCTAGCCAAAGGAGATAGGAAGGAACAACCAGTGAGGTAGGAAAGAAACTAGGGGGTGTTCGGGAAGCCAAGTGAAGACATGGCTTCAAAGAGAAGGGAGCCATAATTGTGTCACATGCCACCAACACAGCCTGTAAAATGAGTGCCACAAGTTGGCCATTGGATTTAGCAAGTGAAACTTCAGAATTTTAGGTGATGGTGCACCTACTCATGCCATTTCCTTTGATAATTTTGGTGGTCTTTAGTGCCACATTACCCAGGCAGCCAGCTATGCTGTCAAGATGCTACCAGTCTTCATTTGTTCTTTTTTTGCACATTGTAGAACAGCAAGCAGTGCACTAGCTGTTTAATAAAATTTAGAATCTAAAGTTTGCTGAGGTCTGAGGACTATGAAATCCTATAGTTCTGTAAGGGATGGGCTTTTGTTTAAACTCTTATGCATTTTAAATCATGTTATGCAAGAGCTAGACAGATGGCTCAGACTACAAGGTGGAAAATGGAACCCGTCTTTAAATAAGCATGCTCCTTTGGGGACCAAGCTGTGCAAGTTTATGTATTTTCTGTACTATGATGTAAGATTAAATAATTTTAAGCACTCTGAATTTTCTTTATTTCAGCCAGAGGATTCTGGCACCTATACCTGTGTGGCCGAGAACGCTGTAGGTGAAGACACACACACTGTCCGCCTGACGGTACACGTTCTCCCCACTTTCACTGAGCTTCCTGGAGATGTGTCATTAAATAAAGGAGAACAGCTACGACTAAGCTGTAAAGCCACTGGTATTCCATTGCCCACGTTGACGTGGACCTTCAATAACAATATTATCCCAGGTTGGTAATTTCATAGAAGAAAATAAATGCACCCATAAACAACGCTAACCCAATCTCCATCTCCTGTAGCTTTGGGGAATAGATTGAAAGTTACATGAAGCATCGACTGCTCTGAGTTCCGTAAAATGTGTACCTTTGCCTGGATTTTAACCTAGACCCAGTATTTGTGTTCCTTTCATTCTTTTGAAAGGATAAGTTGATCACAGGACCATCTGTTGCAGGATATAAGTAGATTTTTTAACCTAAAAACAATCTCCCTCCCCAGAAGAAGACAATGTTGTATACTCTGCACCTAAACTCATCTCCCCTGGATCTTCTTTGTTGATTAGTGAATTAAGGGGCTACTGCTAGAGTCCTGAAGACCCACCTAATTTTACAGAGAACTCTGCTTCTCGCTGTATGCATTAACCTCTATTATAGTGTAGATCAATTATGTAGAAAATTCCTGCTCAGTGTGTGCACTGCATATAAGGTAGTGCCTAGAACCCAGGAACTAGAAGGACAAGCACCTCCCTCTCTGTTAGACTTCGTCATCAGCATAAAGATGTTGCAGTAATGAAAACTCATCCTATCCTAAAAGTGAGTTGTGAAATCTTGTACTATTAGCGTTTACTATATATCTTGCTAGAAAAAGTAGTAATAAGCTTGAGTTTTTTCTGTTATCAATTTTTATGTTAATGACTGGAATTCATCAACTATATATTACCTTAATCATGATAATATATGTCACTAAATATCTGATCAGTACCGTTTTCTGATATAGTACTAGTTTATAGTACTAATTTAACTATTTAAATTTTCATGCTTAATTTTTCACTTAGCACTCAGCAGTATGAAATTTCAAAAGATAATATGAAGGGCGAAAGCATGCAAGATAAACATACCTAACTAACATAGTTAGATATTAGCTGGTCTAATCAGAGACTTATTTAGTATTAGTTGTCTTAGGGTTAACATAAGTTTACCTTATACTGTATTCCAAATATAACTACCTTTGTAAGTATTTATACCATCACCATTTATGGAGATGTTTAAATTATTACAAATTTAATCGTGTTGTCACTCACTGGCGTATGTTTCCATGACATCCCCTCTGACTTGCCAACTCAGTTGAATTATAACCGAAAAGGTTTTCATGTTTTTGATGTAAATTGTTTGGGAGGAAAGGCGGTGGTGAGATAAATGAAATGGAAAATGTCCTATTTCTGAATGAAAGATGTTTGAAACCCAGGGAGACGATGAGCCAGATTTAGGCATCACTTTGAGATGAAAGGTGTGCTTTCAATCTAAAATAATTTTAAAAGATGTTTGTTTTCATTCTCGTTTCCTGTTCCTTCTGCTTTTTTTCATTCTTCAAACAAGCATCTATAGACATAGCAAACAGCTCAGAGGGAGAAGTTTGTGGAAAGGCTCTCTTCCCCAAGGTCATGATGGGATCTCTGGTTCGGTTGCTGACCAACCCATAAATCGAATCTGCCAAACACTGAGCTGCTGTGATATTTTCCTAGGTGACTGAGAGGCATTTGTGTTGTTTCCTAACTTGTTTCTCTCAGCCCACTTTGACAGTGTGAATGGACACAGTGAACTTGTTATTGAAAGGGCGTCAAAAGAGGATTCGGGCACTTACGTGTGCAGCGCAGAGAACAGCGTTGGTTTTGTGAAAGCAATTGGATTTGTTTATGTGAAAGGTAGGTACAAATGCTCTATTTTAAACTTGTAATGTATTTATAATAAGTGGTTCGTATTTTGCTTCCTTGTTATGTCATAATACACTATAACTTAGGTTTATGAGTTCATTTAGTCCTATTTCACAGATGTACAAATTCACAAGAAATAGAAAATTATGAACAACTCAAAAAAGGTAGGTAAGCAATAAGGAAAGAGATCATTTGGCACGAAGTGTAATCATTTGCTTAGAGTACTGACACTGATGAATTTATCTAGTTGATTAGCATGAGCAGTTGATTCTAGAAAATGTGGGGTTCAAAAGTGACTTTACCCTCCCCTTCTTCACTAAATGCTCTTTCTAAATAGGTCAACATCAAAATCATGAAAAAGTTATCAAAGCTTCATTTTACTTAACCTTGTCTTCTGTTATTTTCCAGAACCTCCAGTTTTTAAAGGTGATTACCCTTCTAACTGGATTGAGCCACTTGGTGGTAACGCGATTCTGAATTGCGAGGTGAAAGGAGATCCTGCCCCAACCATCCAGTGGAGCAGAAAGGGGGTGGACGTTGAAATTAACCACAGGATCCGTCAACTTGGCAATGGCTCCCTGGCCATTTATGGCACTGTAGTAAGTCACACAGGAGTTGTCCATTATGTACTTTCACTGCCACAATGAATGCCTTTCCACAGGAGCCACATATGGGAAAATTTCTCACATTCTTATTTAAGTCATAAAGTCTGAATCGATGGGTTCTTATAAAAAACAGAAACAGTGGTCCAAATTAATGATTTTTAGCCCTTTCAAAGAAATATGAGCAATAAAATAATTTTGCTGCTTTGGTCCTGATCACGGTGATCAGGACCTATTTACCATCAGTACATAACTTCCTCAAATCTGTTTTAGAACAAGGGAATTGAAGAATTACAAACACAATTACAAATAAATTATAGGGTACTTTTTACCACTAAGCTGGTAAAAAGTATTATATATATTAGGCTTTCTAAAACCTTTGGTAATTTGGAAAATGAGTGGTACTTGAAGTTATTCTAATTTGAGGGCCAAATGAATAAGATATTTTATCTAAAAATTTCTCAACTAGACTACATACAGGTAATTTGTTAACCTATTGTTGAATTAATTAAAATAATAATTAAAATATACTATCTAATCACCCAATCCAGTGGACCATGCTCCGTCTTTTATTCTCGCTGATTCTATATATTTCAACATTAGATGTTGTTCTAATTGTCCCTTCAATTTTGAGATGATATCTACCTTTAGCTGCTGTAACACTGGTGAAGCCCAAGCTTCTTCGTTACGCTCCCCGCCCCGTTTTGTCTCCACAAACATCACCACGTCTGACGCTCTTGGTACTTCTTCTAATACCAGTGTTAACACTAATAAGTTTTTCACCATACAGTTTCAGATTCTTAAATACCTATCTTCAACCCTGACATTCTTCCAACTTCCATTTGCAGTTGCCTACTAGGAATTTGTGTTTGGATAATACATTGACACCCAATGAAACATCTAAATCAACATCTGTCTTCCTTCTCCCACACTCCTCTCCATCCTGCAATTCAGTTTCCCTTTATTGACTTAGTGTTTCTATTAACGAGGCCAGGATTCTTGTATTCACAAGACCTTCAGTGAAATCTGCGATTCTGATTAGTCACCATATCTAAACTCGTATAGTACTTATTCCTATACCACATACATGTAAATTTGTCAATTACATTCCGTGTTTTATAATTACCAGTAAATTAATTTTTCACTTTCTCGCCTAAATTTCAAGCTTTCTAGATATAGGCCAAGCTTAATTTTTTTATTATTATTAAATAATCCTCATTAGGAAGAACTCAATATTTATTAAGTTGTCTTGATTATCTTTATGCTTTTTTTAAGATACTGCAAGAGTAGCATCAGCATTTTTCTTTAATAAGATCATTTTGGACAGACAATTATAAAAAATGTTATTTTTGCTTTGGCTTCCTAGCAATTATTATTCCCAGAGAGCAATAATAGGCAGTTTTGAATAAATTTTGGCTGGGAATTTCTTTTTCTTCTTCTTTTTTCAACCCTATCCATGAGGTTAAATATACGTAGGTTTTTCTATTCGCATTAAACTACCTTCTCAAGAGGGAAATTTCATATAGACTAGCATCCCGTTGACCAAAGTCCTTTTCCCTGTTCTGTAAGCTCACCTTTTTATAAACTGCTTATTTCCATAGAATGAAGATGCTGGTGACTATACATGTGTAGCTACCAATGAAGCTGGAGTGGTGGAGCGTAGCATGAGTCTGACTCTGCAGAGTAAGCTGCTTAATTCAATTCTAAATACATTTGTGAACCAATGTCAACCCAGTACATTTAATTTTTTTAAAATCTAATTAAACATCCGATTTAAGAAACATTGCCTAATAAAGAATGTTCATTTTCCTTAACTTTATAGCAAGTGTATCAATGGTAGCTTTCAGAGTGTATCTACTTTAATGTTCTGCTGACGATGGAGTCATTGTTATCAAGTGTAAGGCTGACACAGTTTTGACCAGATTATTTTTCTCTATTTTATCTAGCACATGCAGTGCTAGATCAGTTGTTTGGCAACAGTCTTTTTTGTTTGTTTGCAGTATGTTTGGTCGACTACCCTTCTTATAATTCATCACAGTTCTTGTAACATACTTACAAAGATGTCATTTTATGGCACTTTCAAAATATGTATTAAAATTAAAGACTAATGTAAAGGAACTCCAAAGTGCTCCAAGTCGATTGCTGTCCATCTTCCATGAAATAACTCTGTGATCTGGGCAGGATTATCATGTTCGTCATGAGGCGCCTCGTGATAAGCCACCGAGGACAGAGCTTTTGTAATTAGAAAAACAGGAAAGATGCCAGCGGCCCATTGGACAGTCTCCAGAACCACTTCAGGGGCTGAACCCAGGACACCATCACTGGGTTGAGAATTTAAGCAAACCAACTTATTTTGTGACTGGGCTCAGTGTTTAATGAGATGGATTTCATTGTCTTCATATACTATTGAGAAAGACGATAGACTGGGATTTACTGACAGCTATTTGCCAAACATTAACATTTGAAAAACATTTTTAAGACTTTGACATTTCATAGATATTTTAAAAATATCGAAGAGAGTGATTTTCCTCCAGCTTTACTGAGGTAAAATTGACAAATAAAATTGTATATATTTAAGTGTACAACATGATGATTCGATACACATATGTGTTATGACATGATTACCACAGTCAAGTTAATTAACAGATCTATCACCTTACACAATTACTGTTTGTTTTGGTTTGATGTTTTTGATGAGAACACTTAAGGTCTATGCACTTAGCAAATTTCACGGATACAATACAGTATTATTAACTGTAGTTACCACGCTATACATTAGATCTTCAGGACTTATTCATCTTATAGCTGAAAGTTTGTATCATTTGACCAACATCTCCCCATTTCTCCCACCCCTTAGCCCCTGGCAACCACCAATCTGCTCTTTGTTTCTATGTGTTCAACTTTTATTTTCTTTAAGATTCCATATATAAGTAATACCATACACTGTTTGTCTCTATGTCTCTGGTTCATTTCACTTAACATAGTGCCCTCCAGGTCCATCCATGTTGTCTCAAAGGCAGGGCTTCCTTCTTTTTTAGGGCTGAATAATATTCCACTGTGTTTGTGTATATCACATTTTCTTTATCCGTTCATCCATTGATAGACACATTGATTGTTTCCACATCTTGCTAAGTACATATTGTCAAATGATAACCTTATGGGATGTTATTAGAAAGAAATAGAGTTCCATGGTCAAATAAGTCTGAGAAAAAAATAGTTTAAACAAAGTTCATTCAATTATTAAATATATAAGTACCACTATATGCGAAGCCCTGCTTGTGTATCAAGTTTCTTTACTGCAGATCTTTCCAGAAATGTTAATCTGCTTATGTGAGTTATAACTCGATGAGAGGAGGATGTAATATGCCACATTTCCCAAGTAAATTTTATTTCTATGAAACATTCCTCCCCTTTTTGTTGGGTGAATGTTGGTAGAGCATCACACAATTAATCTCTCCTGGAAGAGTATTACACAGACCCTGCTTAAGACAGGGTACATCAGATTAGCTCATTCACATGTACTGGCAATAAATTCATTTAAATACATGAGTTATATTAAAAAAACAAAAATATATTTTGTTTAAAATTAAGATTAAAGCACCAGAAGCAATGTCTTCATTTGGATAAAATGCCCATATTGAACTGATCATTATATGACTGGTAGAATTAATTCAACCTTGAAAGATATATATAAGGAATTTTATTGCTGAATTAATTTATAGCCTTATATGCAGTTGGGAGTGTTCTGGTATGGTATCTATGTTGAGTCTGAGTTTTGTTTGACACTTTCTTTGACCATAATAATATGAGCCAATGAGCTCAGTTAGTCATTATGTTGTCATTTACTGGTGAGTGATTAATCTGAGGTATTTACTTTATTTAGCAACAGTTTATTGGCTACATAATGTAACTGAACACTGGGAGAGAAATAACAGCCCCAGCCAGCCCTGAAAGCTTTGGAAGTGAGGTTAATGTAAACATCAAGTATGAAGGCAATTATGTAGGATGATGTGGGCATTTGTATGAATAATGCATTCATGACTCTCACTGACAGATTCAAATTTTATGTGAAATAATTACTTTTGTAAAAGACATGTCAATCATACCTTTACATAAAATACTAGCATAGTAATATCACAATAAAGCACATTTTATTTCTATTTTCGTTTTATGTTCTATTATTCCAGGTACACTTCTTGATCTAAAATATGCAGCCACCACCCTGAATTATCTGATATTCATTACCTCTCATTAAGCAAAGCATCCCACCTTTCAATTCAATCCCACGAAAGCACTGCTTTCATCCAGTCACGTTCATTCAAGAATATACAAGCTCCCCTTTGCTTCCTATTCAAATGTAAACCCTCCTGATCTTCTTTGAAGATGTTAACCAAATATTTAAAACCTGGTTTGCTACAGGGTGAATCATCCTTTCAAAGCTAAATCCATCTCCATGTTATTTTCTTCTCTCCAAGTGGGCTCCCTTCTCATGTACATAATCTCACCCATTTTTGAAAATCCAGTCAAGCTTCTTGTCCTCATGAAGTCTTTCACATTCTATCTTATTTGGACTGTAGACCAGTACAAAGATAAACATTCTGTCAGCAGGTGCATACAACTCCTTTTACATTCTTTAAAATGACTTCACTTGAGCAGCTGTCATCCTCTATAGATACTATTAACCTCCCCGCTCCTTCTCGAAATCCATTGATTGTCAGGATATTGTTTTCTCCAGATTTTCTTCCTACCTCAGTGATCAGTTCTTAGGGTCATTTATAAGTTCATGTCCTGTCCATCTCCTAAATAATAATGTTGCAGTAGTTACTGCCTTTGGCCCTCTTCCTCTCATTTTAGACTCACTTCTGAAGCAACTGGATCCACTCAGGAAAGACTCACAAGTCTATAGTTCTAACCCCTATCGTTAATTCTGAGCTCCAGATATGAATATTCACTTTCCATCTAGACACCTCTACATCAATGTCCCATTGGTGCCTCAAGCCAAACGGTTCTAACTGGCTGCAAATCATCATTCCTTACTCCCTTCCAACCAATCTGTTCTTCCTCCTGCTTCTATTGAATTGCCCAACATACACTATATTGCCCAAGTTAAAACCCTGTAGTCATCAATTCCTCCTTTTACTCCATCCCGTTTAATGACACAGCCCTACCATTCCTACTTTCTTAATAATTCTTGAATGTCTTTGCTTTTCTCTGCATTTCCAGTGATGTGCTTTTGTTTGATCATTAAGCTACTGGTTTTTATGTTCCCATATCACCATACATTTATCAGCACTATACCATTTTATTCTACCTGCTCTATTACTAAATTCTGTAGGTATGTTATAGCATGGCTATATCATTAATTACTTCTCTATCTGATAGATGGACTGTGAGCTTTTGAGACTAGAAGTTATATCTGTTATCTCTGTACCCTCAGCGTCTAGCACAATCCCTGGCAAATAGTAGGTTCTCAATATATGTTTATTGAGTAAATGAATGATGACCAGTAATGAAAGAATCAGTTAATAATGACTTTTAGCCTCAAAAATGATGTAAGGGGAAGAAGTTAATGTTTACCATGTAAAACAGACAAAAGCAGCAATGATAACAATAGTACTAATAATATTGTGTGCTTATCTCAGAAACATGACTGCGGAGCCCATGCTCTAGGCTAATCTGCTTAGGGATTTAAAATTTTTAACATTCACTAAATAAGCCAGAGCTATGAAAAGTCTATCAATGGCAATTACAATCATAGTAGTTGAGAAGCTACAATATTTTATAAACAAATCAGCCTTTTTTTTTTCCAAAATAATGTTACTCTATACTATTGATAAAAATGTTACTCTAACGCCACAAAAACTAAGAAACACTATGTGCTTTTTCCCCCACAGGTCCTCCCATTATCACTCTGGAGCCAGTAGAGACTGTTATTAATGTTGGTGGCAAAGTCATATTGAATTGTCAGGCCACTGGAGAGCCACATCCAACCATTACGTGGTCCCGTCAAGGGCGCTCTATCCCCTGGGATGACCGAGTTAACATGTTGTCCAACAACTCGTTGTATATTACTGCGGCTCAGAAAGAAGATACGTCTGAATATGAATGTGTTGCTCGAAACTTGATGGGTTCTGTCCTTGTCAGAGTGCCGGTCACGGTCCAGGGTGAGTGTGATCAGAGGGATCATGGGGCAGCTCGAGTCATAGAAATTGCTAAGCACGTTAGTTCAAGTCTCGTTTACCCCTAAGATACTCCTAGGTTATGGAGATAGGCCAAAAATCACATCACAATTTACAGACGGAAGGGACTAAAACAGTACAGAGTAGAGCTGAAAAATACCAAATTAATAATTCAAAGCCCCAAACTGAATTTTTGATTGAAAACTGAGTCAAATTTATTCTCAGAAATCAATATATGTATTTGGCTTTAAAGAATGACTTCTATCCAAAAGGTAAACAGTATAAACGTCTTGGTGGCTAACTCAGCAGCCATATCCAGTGAGTTATGATTGGAGCTGGGAAGAAACTCTAGTTAACTGAAGTTCTTGTTTCATGCTTCAATGTTAAAAAAAAAAAAAAAAAGGAGAGCTTTCATAAGCAATTTCTCAGCAGTTACAGATTTAGCTCTAGACCCGGTGCATATCTTAAATGAAATCCAACTTGCAAATTTTTTTACTTACTAAAGCAGAGACAAAGTACAATGTTTTATTTGCAGTTCATGGTGGATTTTCCCAGTGGTCTGCCTGGAGATCCTGCAGTGTCACCTGTGGAAGAGGCATCCAGAAGAGGAGTCGTCTATGCAACAGCCCGTTTCCAGCCAATGGGGGGAAGCCGTGCCAAGGGTCAGATTCAGAAATGCGCAACTGTCAACATAAGCTGTGTCCAGGTACATTGCTTATTCAATGCATAGGCATGTGTTCAATAGATACGCATGTGTTCCCTAATAATGAATTGTCCTGTATTAGTACTTTCAATGGAAACATATCTGATGGCGAATATTTTCCCTTTGTATAGTGGATGGTAGGTGGTCAGAATGGAGCCCCTGGGAAGAATGCACAAGGAGCTGTGGACATGGCAACCGAACCAGGACCAGAACTTGCAATAACCCATCAGCTCAACATGGGGGGCGGCCATGTGAGGGGAGCGCTGTGGAAATAATAATGTGCAACATGAGGCCTTGCCCAGGTGAGAACCTACCCCTAAGCAAAGCTTTTTCATTTTTAACTCCTAGAAAGGGGTTATAATTACCTTTCTTCTTCATTGTGAAAAGATGTTATGGCCGCTACCCTGGAAGATGTTCATTCTCCATGTTCTTCGTTCTGTCTTATGGGTAAATTTGTGGAGGTATGATATTAGTCAATGTTAAGTAAACTACCTGATATACTGGAAATGATAAAAGGTTCCAAACTGTGGTGCATTTTTAATCATGTAGGGAAGACATAAGTAATTACAAAGTCATAAAATTTTAGAGGTAACGAGGACTTTAAGTAACATCGAATCCAGCCATTCATTTTTCAGATGAGAAAAATAAAGCATAGAGAGGTTAGAGACAGTCCCAGAAACACACAATTAGTGAGGGCTAAAATAATAATAGCTACCATTGACTAAATACCTATCATGTGCTAGGAACCATGCTAGGTGCTTTATATACATGTTGTTTTTGACTTTGTGAAGCAACCCTATAGCATAGGTATTTGAGGGCTCTTTAAAGCGACAAATCAAACGTAAATAAGCTCAAGTAGAAAAATTCTACTTTCAGGTATGATTGAATCCAAGGATTTGGCCAGTGATTTTACTAGTATGTTTTCCATCTCTCATCTCTGCTTTCCTCTGGCTTTATTCTCCTTTAAACTCTTTCCATGTGGTGGAAAAAGTGACTGCTGGCAGCTACTGGCTCACAGGGGCCTTATAACCTAAGGCCTAGGAGACAAAGAGTTACTCTCGCCCTCAGAATTTATATGAATATTTATATTTATATTTATATGAACCCTGTTTGATTTTGTTTGGATCCCATGTTCACCTCTGAACTCAAGTTCAGGAGAAGGATGCTGGGATAGTCAACTTGAGCTACTTGCCGACAGTGTGTCAGGAGGGTCAGGGCACCTTGTTTGACAGCCTGAAAGAAATCATATGGAATTGAAGAATGGCTGTTCATTCATTTGTTCACTCATTCATTCATTTTATTTATTGAGCAACCGTTCTATGCTCAAGGCACTGTTCTGGGTGCTAGAATTACAGTGATAAACAGATAATATCATACAAAATAGAACTCAAAGTTGAAGTGATATGGCATCACTGGGAGAGACACCTTAGCTGAGATGGTAAAAAAAAAAGGATGTTGACAAACCAAAATTAGATATCTGCTGCATTGGGTATTGCATCCCATTATACAGATGAGGAACTGAGATTCAGAACATATATGATAATTAATTCATTGAGGTTACATAGTAAATAGTGAATCAAGGATTTGAAGCCAGGTCACCCTGATGATTCCCAAGCCTATTCGCTTAGATTCTGGGTATCTTCACTTGCAGTTCAGAACTTCCACTCCATTGCAAAAACAAAATACTGCCACAAAGTCTTTGAGCAAATAAATCAAAAGCCAAATGTTTTTAATCTTGAAGAATTAGATAGCTAATTATAGTAGCATAATAGTAAAGTAAAAAGAGTCACAAATATCTGATTATAGCAATCTTTGCACAGTTTGTCAACTATGATATCAATATAATGAAGATCTAAATGACATTTGTAAGTGTCCTTGTTTCCTTGAATACTTCCTTACTTTCTGGTGCAAAATGATATTTTAGGCTTACATTATCCTTTCCCTGCCCCAGTTAGAATAGTATTTTTAAACTGCCAATCCTGCCCCTAAAAAAGATTGGAATCTTCTGGAGTGGGCCATTCTGCTGCCATTTGTCATTATATAATCATTGTCATAATATATACATATATATACACACACACACACACACACAAACACACACACATATATACATATATACATGTATATATTTATATATATATATATATATATTTATTGATATATAATTTTACATGTCAAAATACTATATCGCCTATATATACACAGAGGGTGCCAAAAAAATATATACACATTTTAAGAAAGGAAAAAACTGTGTTAATTTTAATATATACCGATACTCAATATATACGGATAACAGAAGCTGAATACAAGTCATGTTTGACTTCTTCAATTGCAAGGGGTGCTCAAAGTGGTTACCATCAGCATCCAAACACTTCTGATTATAGTGAACTACTGCTGGAGCATATATAACATCACTTAAAATGTGTATACATTTTTTGGCACCCCCGGTATATATATATTCTTACAGAAGACTTGAAGAATGAGCATTTTTAAAAGCGTCTTTTCTGAAAATCGTTGAGAACTTTGAGTAAAGAATGGCCACACTAGCTCGTAGCTCTCATGTATGCAGTACTTACTGTGCCAAGCATCTTTCATCTATAAACTCATTATTCCTCACCCTAATCCTAGTGAGGTAGACTCTTTAATTATCCACACTTTGCAGATTATAGACTCAGCACACAGAACCCAGGGAACTCATGTGGGATTTCAGTTAGTAAAGGCCCAGACACTGTTATCCTCCAGACCCAGGGCGTCCGGGCCAAAATCCCTGCCCTTAGCTCCCTGTTTTATTTCCTTTCCAGAATCAGAACTGCAGCATAGTGTAACAACAAAGTCATGTGTTCTACTTCACATTTTTCTTATATATTAATTCCCCCATAGTTGTCCTCTTTGGTATTATTTAAACACCATGATGTTCTTCCTTTTTTCTTGATATCATTCCATTCACATAGAAGAAACATTTCAACTCTACCACATTTTATGTCACGAAGTTCAATCTGGTTAAGGTTTTATATATTGATGAAAAAAATAAACGCTCTTCAGCTAAAGACCTCTATTTATATGTAATAGAAACTAGGTAGATAATAAATGAATAAAGATCGCCCCATTGTAATCGTTTAATAAAAAATACATCTGTGCTATAAGACTTTATATTGTAAGAGGTGTGGGCTTTCATTAACCAACAGCCTTGAAAACAGAACATGAAAACAATTGGTACAGCACAATTTTTTAGATCACATAGTCCAAATATAAGGATTATGAGCATCCACTACCTGAATTAATAAAGATATCTGCCATATATTTAAAGGCTTTCTTCTTTCCTTTTAGGTTAACTCAAATACATTTTAGTGCAAATTCTTGTCAGCTAAAATAAATTCACTCTGTTTGCCTGTATCGACAAAGATAGGTCAACTCAATTAGAAAACAATTAATGAAAAGAAAATGCAAGATGTGTTTTAAAATAGTTTCTAAACAAGGCAACCAAATGGTAATTTCATTATTGGTTTTCAACATATTCTTCTGGTGTCTTATAGGTTGTGAAGAGACTATTTAGACACAGGCCTTAAGGCCCTATTTTGGTTCATATCTTGATTAAACTGGGTGACAACAAAAACATACTTTATGAGCCCCACATCTAGAAATTACCCTTAAAGCAAAAGCCCAACCTGATACTGACTTACACATAAGAGAATCCATAATGTTCATTCTCAGCCCGTGCACCTGGTAAGAAGCGTAAGGCTGTTCCAATCTTGTGGCTAGATTGTGTAATATGTTAGTTAACAAATGGAAGGCTTTCACAGAACTCCTTGGAAAATACTGGTCAATTTTTTCTGTTGTTTCGGAAGCAAGTGAGTGTGTTATTCAGAACTTTTAATTCATGAACATTATGTAATGGAGAAAAATTTTTCAAAGAGTTATAACTGCACAAATCATCATGTTGTTAAAATATCCAAGTGCATTTTTAAACACAAAACTGAATCAGGCCCCTGAAAAATGTGGTCTTGCAGCCCAGGGTACAAATTATCACTGTGGAGACATTGGTTTGTCCATAACTGCATCTCGATCTACTATACAGCCTTGCTCCTATTCTGGTTCCCTCCCTTCCCCCTAGGGCACAGAGCACAGTCAAATACTTACCTAGGATTTAAAAACTCAGATTGTGTTTACATCTGGTAGTTCCATAAAATTTTATCGACCCTTCAGTGGCTTGGCCGAGTGGTGCGATGGTTAAGAGCTGGCTTGGAATGCCAGAGGGCCCCGGGTTCGGATCCCACATATGAGGGCCAGTGACACTGCCCTCTACAGCTAAGATGCTGAACAACAGCTCAACCTGGAGCTGGGCTGCCGTGAGTCGTCAGCGACGGCATAGGCTGCAGTCCCTGTGGCAGTGGGTTGCCATGGGCTACCATGTGTAGCCAGCAGCCAGCATGAGTGGCCAGCAGCCACAGTGAGTGGCCGTCCAGAAGCCGGCGACTGATCTGCCTCGCCCAGGAAGAGCGCAATGATGGTGCCAACTTGGGCCAGTGAAGCGACGTCCTCCACAACTAGGCTGAAGAACAAAACGACAGCAACTTGTCTGTTCCCCTTCCCCCAATTCCCCAGCACTGTTCCTATCCCCCAATTCCCCAATAAAAATCTTAAAAAAAAAAACAAAGATAGCCCTTCAGATAATTTTAAGCATCAAGATCATTTATTTTGGCATTAGGTTCTAAAATTAGCCTTCTAAATTTCCCTATAGACACTAATTACCATGAAACTCTAACCCGAAGAAGAAAGGAAGAACATCATTTATGTTTTCTTTGGTTCATTTTCAATTATTTTTAGACTCGGGACTCAATGAACTCATTATTGAGCTCATTTACTTATATCATTTTTTCTTTTTAACAAACATGGTTCTGTGGCTTGAAACTCTGTCTCTTGGGATATTTGTAGTTCATGGAGCATGGAGCGCTTGGCAGCCATGGGGCGCATGCAGCAGAAGTTGTGGGAAGGGTACCCAGACAAGAGCAAGACTGTGCAATAACCCACCGCCCTCGTTTGGTGGATCCTACTGTGACGGAGCAGAAACACAGATGCAAGTTTGCAACGAAAGACACTGTCCAGGTAAGAGAAATACAAAGTGTATACCCTTCATAAATTAACATCTACCTCTTATGTAAGTAGCGCGTCCATAAGAATTTATGTTCATAAGAACATCACTCAACCTAACAGTGCCCAGAGTTTAACCAATCATTTGTAAGTAGTAACAGAGCACCTGCATTTTTCCTCCATCCAGTTCATGGGAAATGGGCCACTTGGGCCAGTTGGAGTACCTGTACGGTGTCCTGTGGAGGAGGCGCCAGACAGAGAACAAGGGACTGCTCTGACCCCATCCCCCAGTATGGCGGAAACAAATGTGAAGGGAGTGATGTCCAGAGTGATTTTTGCAATACTGACCCATGTCCAAGTGAGTGTTGGAAATAGTGAGTCAACATTATACTTTCTTAAAGTTCCGTAAGGCTTTAAGTCCTCAAAGTTATAATATTCTGTGCCTTGATTTGTCTGCCTCTGGTTTAGGATATCAACACGTTGTCTGGTTTGCTGTTATGTCTGTATAGTTCCATAGATGTGATTGATTTCTACAGCGAGGGGCTGTGTCCCGTTTCGTTCGCTCTATAGGACCAGCTGCAGAGTGCAGGGATAAGGGCACCCTTCCATACTAACTGTTAATGATGCTGATACCTTCTTTATGGAGGCAAGCAGGCAGCTCATTGCCTTAATTCAGTTACCAAGCTAGATTTTTAGACCCTAGCAGCATCCGAATCCATTGGTATCTTGAATATTATAACCTTGACTCATCAAGAGCAGAGACTTTGTCTCATTCATATCCTTCAGCTCGTGGAACACTGTAAGACTCAATAAATGTATATGAACCCTCCGTCATGCACAACTGATCTCACAGATTCATCGCACACAAAGATGCCGCTATGAAATACGTCTTTACTAAGTCACAAACACGACTGGCGATAGGTGACGGTAGAGGGGGAAGATACGGAAGCGATGAGTCACAATACTTAACTGTTAGATATTTGGAAATGTGTGTGTAATGAAATCTTTGAGATCAGTTGCACCTGACAGAGGGTTAAATGGAATTGCACAGTCGCTGGAATGTACACCCAGTTTCTGGTCAAAACAACAGCTAAGCCACCTACCTTTGGAAGTTGCCTATTTACAGATATGTATGTTTCTTTTCAGTTCCTGGGGGAAACCTTTTTCTACTTTCTGGATGAATGTCATTGTCTAGCCCTTTCCCAATGTTCTGTGTTGTAGCTCATGGTAACTGGAGTCCTTGGAGTGGCTGGGGAGGGTGCAGTCGGTCATGTGGCGGAGGACAAATGCGGCGTTACCGCACGTGTGACAACCCTCGGCCCTCCCATGGAGGAAGAGCTTGTGGGGGGCCAGACTCCCAGATCCAGAGATGCAACGCTGATATGTGTCCTGGTAAGCCCCCCAACCCCTGGCAGAAGAGCCAATAAAGCATTTTGTTTAGTGTTCGTTATAACAGCACCGTCATTTCAGATCTTAACATGAAAGCTGTATAGGCAAGGTCACCCTAAGTGTGAATATTAAGAATGATTTGTTAGTATTGACCAGTCCATTCTTGTTCACAGTGGATGGAAGTTGGGGAAACTGGCATAGCTGGGGCCTGTGTTCTGCCTCTTGTGGAGGAGGTGAAAAGACCCGAAAACGGCTGTGCAACAATCCAGAGCCGTTCAAAAGTGGTCGCCCCTGTCCAGGAGATTCTACTCAGGTATCCAGATGCAATATACAAGCATGCCCAGGTAAGCAACTAAGTTAGACTTTGGCAGAACTATTGCTAGCACATTTATAGCCTTTCTGCAAATTAAAAAAGGTGTCACTCTGAGCCCACAACTTACAAAACAGTGCCAGTGGGATAAAGAATTAGGAAACATGCACTTTCCCCCCTCTACTTAGTACAGCTCTACACCAAAGCTTGTGGCTGGATTTTAGCCTCTGTTTGCCCCCTTCCTGGCTCCCTTGTAAAAGGATGTGGTCTTCACAGCCATAAATAGTAGCCCTGGGCCTGAAGGATGGAAGGGAGTGGTTAGCAGGGAAAGCCAGGCTGAAAAATGAGGGTGGGGCAGAAACTGAATATCTAACAGAAATAAACAATCGGAGGCTGTTATTTCACAGGTGGAAATATGGAGAACAAGAGTGTGGAAAGTACAATAGAGGCCAGTTCAGTTCAAGGAAAAAGATTAGGGAGAGTTCAACTACCATAACTCAAGTCATGCAACAAGGCCAGATATTGTAAGTAATGTCAAAATTTAGAAGGAACAAAGTCAGAATTCTGGAACTTAGGGCCTTAGAAAGAGTTTGCTGGAGTCCTAAGAGATGGTGAATAATGCTAAGGGTGCTTGTCTCAGAGGACAGACTTTCTAAGGGCTCTAAGAAGACCAGAAAGAACAGTTTCACATTGTTGAAGTGCTGAGAAATGACTGGACTTTCCAAAGCTTTAAGGTTGCTTTAGAAATAAAGTATCCCTGGAAATCAAGAAGGCTCAGAAAGAGCAAGGAGCCCTATGAAAAGGTTTGTAGGATCTAGACAAGCTAAAAAGGTAAGTGTCTATCAATCAACTGCTCAACATTTCTTCTCAATATATCCACTGATTGCCAAGGATTTTCAGGCTCTACCATGTAAGCATGGTGACAATTCCAGGTTCAGCAGAGGTGTTTTTGTAGCTCAGCCTCCGGTGGTGCCAGGGCCCCAGTGACAGAAGTAAGTCCAAATAGGCAGACAGTTTGGATCACAGAGTTTGGCAGAAAGTCTCAAGGATTCCAGCTGGGTAGCCAGAACCAGGAGACATCTGTTGAGAACTAGGCCTCAAGGTCCTCCGTGAAACAAGGGAACTAAGACCACAATGGGAGGCCACTCTTGTTAGTGAATAACCCAAAGAACTAAGTGAATTAGTGATCCTTCTATTCCTCTTGCTTAGGACTAAAGATAAGAAACAAAGTGGTCCACCAGGTCCTGATTGGCCCTGCTATCTACCTTCCCATATCATCTTTCAGTGCAGTTCCCATCACTCTCTAAGCTCTCAGATGTAGCAAGCAACCATCTCCCCAAAGGGTGATGTTTTCTCTGCCTGGAAAACCTGTTTCCTGCCTCCCCTGGCTCAGTTAAGACATAACTTTCCTTAGATCTCCACTTAATTTTCACTTTCTTTTCTTATTTCCCTATACATTAGTACATTTCAATTTTACATGTATTTATAGAATCCTAATTAATTTCTTTTGCCCCTATTCAGACATAAGCTCTATGAAGACAGGTCTCATGTCTTTTTCTCTTTCTTACCGTTGTATCCTCAATACTTGATGAGCAAATGAATGCAGTTCAGAACAGGAAGACTGAATCAATGTGGAGAAAATGTTTTCTCTCCCTAATAATCACAGTCATATAAATTAAAATGGTGAAATACTGTACTTATTGACTTTTCTGAGATTGAATACAATTATATTTCTCCCCAGTATATCATACATGATAACAATACCTGAAACACCTGGTGATTATTTTTAAATATATTCAATTAAAAGCCATCAAATTATAAATATGAATTTTACTATCCACTTCTTCTCAATATGTTTGTCTCTTATCAAAGCATGCAATTCATTTAAGAAACGGTCATTAACTGCCTATTCTGTCTTAGTTGCCAATAATTTTGTTGAACAATGGAAAGAAGGCATAAAATTACTGTAGAGATACTTTTAAAAAAAATTTATAATTATTTTTCAGCCTGATTGTCTTGGTATGAATTTTGCAGCACTGTTAAAAGTACAATATCCCTCTCAAATTTTTTTCAAGCATTTTCCAGTATATATGTAATATGAAGAACTTAATAAGCCCTACATCTGGAACCCAAGACTGAATGATACCCCTTAGATATGCCACCTTGGTAGTGGCAATGACCTGTCACAAGGCTTAGGAGCTGTCTTGTTGGTGATCCCTCCTTTCGCTCTATGAAGGAAGCAATAGATGAAAGGACAGGGGTTTTGATGCCAAGCACATCTGTATTCAGACTCCCCACCAACTCCTAGCTGTGTACTGATGGAAAAGTCACTTGGTTTCTCTGAACTTTACCTCGCCTGCAATCTGTGGCTTTTTAAAACTACCTTATCAGATTTTTTAATAGGATTAGAAGAGTTAACACATATTAAGTGCTCACTGCATTGCATGACATGCTCAGTAAGCTCTCATTATTCTCATTATTTCATCACCATCAACAAACACACACTTTATTTTGGCTTTGGGACTGGGCACTGATTGTATTCTTTGGGTTGTGCAATAATGTTATGATGTGCATAGATTGGAAGGATCCTAGATTTATGTGAGATGATGAGTGTTACATGAGAGTAGAATGTTTTGAAAGTTTATTTATTACACTCTTAAATTCAGTTGTCATATGATCCTTTTTAAATGTTTGAGAGAAGATTTGTAGCATCTTTGAATACTGGCCTTCTTTCCTCCCATATAATGTTGATGAAATTATTTCCTTATCCAGGAATGTTTTTCCTTCCCCCAATAGGTGGGCCCCAGCGAGCCAGAGGAAGTGTTATTGGAAATATTAATGATGTTGAATTTGGAATTGCTTTCCTTAACGCCACAGTAACAGATAGCCCTACCTCTGATACTAGAATAGTACATGCCAAAATTTCCAACGTGCCTCGCAGTCTTGGTAAGTCTCTTTGCTTATAAAAAGTTGTTAATAAGCCTCTTTATAAAAATGTATATATTATTCTTAATCTTATTATTTCCACTTAAAATTTGTAGAATATGCTACTACTAAATGATCAGTATAACAGTCCTTAGAGACATATGAGATATTGGTATTTATTTTGTTATTAAAGATTATTTAGGATTCATCCTTATGAATAACATGCTATGAAGACAATAATAACAATGAACTATAAATATTGTGCTTTGTCACGTTATTTATCCTTTTTTTCTGTAGGTGCAGCAATGAGAAAGATAGTTTCTATTTTAAATCCCATTTACTGGACAACAGCAAAGGAAATAGGAGAAGCAGTCAATGGCTTTACCCTCACCAACGCAGTCTTCAAGAGAGAAACCCAAGTGGAATTTGCAACTGGTTAGTGCCAACTGAACTTAATATTCTGTTACTATAAAAAAAACGATTGCTTTAAAAGTTGGTGGTTAAGAGAAATACATTATATGTTCCCATGGAGAATCATTCCAAAGTTTTAGATGCAATCTTATCATAAATGATATAAAAGCAATTTCATAGTTCCCTGTAAATTTTTACTGACTTGGGTCTCTTAGAAGCCATGTGTTTTCAAACAGTGTAGTGATTTTTATACCCTGAAACTCTTTTCCTCTTATTTTTTGTATCTTTTCTCCTTAAATCCTTAGAGTGGGTTTTAAAGGGCAGAATAGGAAAATGAGTCATTGCTATTAATGAAAGGTTTTTGTGTATGAACCTGAGATTCAATTAGAATACCTTATAGGGGTTCTTATCAAACACGTGTGAATAAAACAAGCAATTCGAAAGGCTTTTCACTTTATCCTTAGTCTTAATGAATATGCATTAGCGATTCATGACACTTCCAAGTGAATACAGGTTTTTGTAGACTTCTGAGTCTCATCGAAGGTGGCCAGCCTCAATGGCCTTTAAAGAAGAAGGCCTGAGGGAAGACACAGCTTTAATCAGCCCAGAAGACAAGTGGGTTTCTTCATGGCCATCACTTACTAAGATGCCCTTTTGCTACTTCTTGAAACATCTGAAAGAACAAAGCTCTGTGGCCACACTTGAGGTCATTGCCAGTCCACCCGGTGAAGCTGCCTGTCCCTTCTCACATGAGCTATTGCTTACGTTTTGAAGTGTGGAATCCTTCACATAATTACATGCTACATTTTTGCTATATAAAAAAGAGATGTTAGAACAAACTTAATTCAATAACCCTAAGTTTAATTTGGGGGCTAAGGGCTAATTTAATTCACTTATTGTCTATGTTTATTCAAGCTTTAAGTAAAATAACAGCTGAGCTGGAAGGTAAGGTAAATCTCTGTGCTTACACAAACCATATAGCTTTCGCTGAGAAAATGAATGCATTGTAATCCCCAGGAGAAATCTTACGGATGACTCACGCTGCTCGGGGCCTGGATTCCGATGGAGCTTTGCTGTTAGATATCGTTGTGAGTGGCTACGTCCTGCAGCTTCAGTCCCCTGCTGAAGTCACTGTAAAGGTAAGTGTCGAGATAACTTGCCTTCGCTGTTTACCGGAGTAATGGTACAAGTAGCTGTCAGAGAACCACGGAAAGAGCAGACAGAACTTGGGTAGTTTGCCTTGTTCACCCTGGGGAGTAAATGTATAAACCACTGAGGTTGGAAATGGCTGTCTGTGTTTACAATAGCTGAGACATGGAAACAACGTTTATATATTTATATTTATATATATATATATATATATATATATATATATATATATAAAATCACATAATTTTTAAACCATCTGTCGATGGACACACTATGTGTGTGTGTGTGTGTGTGTGTGTGTGTATATATATATATATATATATATATATATATATATATATATGGAGAGAGATGCAGACAGAGGCAGAGACAGAGAGTGAGAGATAATAGAATACTACTTAGCCATAAAAAAGATGAAATACTGCCATTTACAACAACATGGATGGATCTTGAGGGTATTATGTTAGTGAAATAAGTCACATGGAGAAGGACAAACACCATATGATTTCACTTACATGTGGAATATAAAACAAAAAGTAACAAACAAACTAATAAAACAAGCTCATACTCATGGATACAGACAAGAGAATGGCGGTTACCAAAGGAGAAAGGGGGTTGGGGGGGTGAAGGGGAAAAAGGGGACAAATATATGGAAGCGAAGGAGACTAGATTTTGGGTGGGGAGCATCAATAGAGGACACAGATGTTGAATTATTATCTTGTACACCTGAAAATTATATAATGTTATTAATCAATGCTACCCCAATAAATTGAATTAAAAAACAATCTTCAGGGACAAATATTTACAAATTCTTAGTGGTTTTATTAGGACTAAGATCACTGCTTATGTTCATTTAAGTAATCTGTTTAATTTTCTACAAAGAAAATACTAACTCTTGCATAAACGTGTTTATGTATCATTCATAAAATTTCTGAAATTACAAAATAATATTATAACAGTCATCCTTGCACATCGTTTCTTTGCTCTTGACCTACAGCTTTGAGTCCCTATTCAACTATCATTTCTGACAGCAAAACGATGAAACTATCATAGTCATTAAAAGGCTCACATGTTATTTCTGAACACTCCTGTATAATTACAATTTTATTTAGAACTATATACTTTTAGCCCCCAAGTGTTTCTTTTTTCTCATTTTGCATCTCATACTGAAGGATGAGTCATGCTGATCCTCAAATCCATATTGTCCTTCTTAGGATTATACAGAAGACTACATTCAAACAGGCCCCGGACAGCTGTATGCCTACTCAACCCGGCTGTTCACCATCGATGGCATCGGCGTCCCATACACGTGGAACCACACTGTTTTCTATGATCAGGCACAAGGAAGAATGCCTTTCTTGGTAGAAACACTTCATGCATCTTCTGTGGAATCTGACTACAACCAGTTAGAAGAGACATTGGATTTTAAAATTCACGCTTCAATTTCCAAAGGTAATTTGCTTGAAGGCAAGTCCAGATATATCTAAAAGGGTAAAAGAATTGCATTGATGCCATTCAAAATAAGGGTATGGAGGCATGGACCAAACACGATGCCATCAGGTTTTTTGTGTATATTGTCTGTGTGTTTCGTGGTGGTAAAGCCCTGTGGTAAAGCCAGTCCAGCGGGAGTTCTAAAGCATTTGTTTTATTAATATGTTTCTTCTTATAGTATAGTGGAGTTGTTATTCTATTCTGTATGTGCAGAGAGGTTTAAAAATATGCACATATCCTGTCAGAATGATTTTTCTTTGGGTAATAAAGTCCATTTATTCATGTTCTGAATTTTATATTTTGCCAAGGAAAAGTGCATTGTCAAGGTGTCTTAACATAAACTAGTCCAAAAATAAATTTCCATATTTTAAAAGCAGTGCAGCAATCATCAGCATTCCAATTGTCATTTCTTGTTCCTGGAAGTTATAAATTTTGAACTGCTTTCCATTTTCCAAGCCTGGTTCTATAACCAGTGATCTCAGCAGTCTCCCTATGTTATGCAGTCCTTTGATGTATCTATACCCGATATTTCCTTTTCAATTATAAGAGACACCACAACCATTAGCATGCCATATTCCTTGGGGTTTTGATGGTAGGAGATACTTGTATATAGTTCATGTTGTAGACACTAACTGTTTGAAAGGCTTTATTTAACTTTGAACCTTAGACTTCCTCAGTACACTTAAAACGATTCAGAGCGGCCTTGTGAGTGTGTGTTTCACTCTGTGCTGGCTTTCCTAAAATAGATCCAAGTAGATTTTAAACAGCATCATTTTGTTTGATCATGCTCAAAAGATACTCTAAAATTTTAGTTTTACCACTTGTTTTCATCGGTTGCGCATATGATTATTTTCTTCTTCAGTTAGAACTGCTTTGTTAAAATTGAGGTCGTTATAATCTAGGAGTATGTGTTCATAGTTTTTGAGCTAATCACAGATTTATGAGGCCTCATACCAGTAGGCCCATAGCCCCATTCCTCTCCACCCACATGTCACCACCAATACCTCATTTTACTTTTGTCATGCGTGATCAAGTCACTTGGACAAAAGTAAAGAGCCACTGGAATAAATAATTATATCTTCTCTTCCCCAATAACACCTACTTTTCAAATCTAACCTCTGTTTCTACTTTTTCTACTACTCCATCTAATTTTTTAAAAGATAATTTGGCACAAGAGTTTGGTTAAAAATGAATTTATACCATCTGGGACTAGAGGAGTTAAGATGATTTTTAGAAAGCCATGTACAGTTTCTACCCAGTTATATAAATCCTCTGAGCCTGACATGGCTTGAAGGTCTTCGTGGTACCTGTAATGATTTTTGGGGAGATTTGGGTCCCACGATAGAAGGAAACACACTGTAGGACATTTAAAACCCCTTACACCCCTTAGATACTATGATTCTGTGAATTACATCTGATATGTGTGCCCTTTGTTCCTTGAGAATTCCAAGAGCTGTGTACCTGCATTTATTTTTAAGTGACCACCAGGGGGCGAGCTTGCATTCTTGGTTGCTTAACTAGAAAGTTCTTTCTCTTCTATGTTGGGCCTAGACTAGAGGTATGGTTATGGTGCAGTCAGAATCAACAAGAACTTTCAGATTTCTAGGCACAAAGATTTGGGTTTAGTTAGACCAAGGTAGGGTCTGGGAGTTTGTATTTTTAATAGCCCCTAAGTGATTTTAATATATCTGGTCTGCACAGTGTCATTTGGAAACTGCTGGTCAAGAGAACTCAGAATATAAATCAATATAATTTTTTTTAAATTTATATCTTTAAAATCAAATGGATTTGTTTTTAAAATGTAATTATAGGATATGTTACTATTACAAATTAAACAAAGAAGATATCAGAAACAATAAAGGAAAAGAAATAAATTTAACTACAAATAAAGTTTTTAAAACATCTTCATGGAAGAAAAATACAAAATTGAGAAGGTAAATATACATTAAGAAAAAATATTTACATTACATATTATAGACAACTATGATTAACCTTAAAATATACACAAAGCTCTTAAAAATCAATAAGAAAATGGCAAACACCCCAGTAGAAAAATACACAAAGGCTATGAAAAGGAAATGCATAAAGGGAGAAGCAATAATGACAAAATAAATATCAAAAGTTGTTTAACTTCAGCAATAAGCAGAGAAATGCTCATTGAAACAGTGAGGTACCATTTTTCAACTATCATTCAAAGATTTAAAAATGTGATGACCAATGTTGAAGAGGTATGGGGAAATGAACTCCCTCACACTCTGCCAGCAGGGGTTGTAAATCTGTTAATCATTTCTAGAAAGCAGTATGTGTCAGTAGACTTTCACATCTTCACATCTTTTTAGTTATCTCATTTTAGAGGTCTGCCCTAAGAAAATCACAGCAATGGCCAATAATAAATGCCCTAGAAATAAAGGTAAATATGTAAATGATGGCACAGCTGTATGATAAACTTTCAGTCATTAAAATAATCTTATATTTTGCTCTGTTCATTTAAAAATATTGGTTTATTGTCTACTGTGTACCAGACACTGTTCTAGGTATTGACAATATAACTATAAATAAGTGACAAAGGAGAATGTACATGACATAATAGGAATTGAAAAGCAATACATACACAATATGATTCTAACCTGGGTTGCCCACACCACTCTAATTATAAGGAAACTTTTATACTGGTTCAAAACACAGATTCCCAGGCTTCTCCCTTGGCGATTCTGACTGAGATAGGACCAAAGGGTCTATATTTTTAATAAGTTCACCAAGAGATCTTATGATCAGTAAAGTTTGGCTATTAGTCTATGAAAGATCCTAACTTAAATTTCGAAGGGCATGCTTATAAAAGTGACCAGAGAGAAAAACATCAAAATGTTGGCAATAGTTTATCCAAGTGACAAAGTTGCAGGGAATTTTATACTTTTCAAAGTTTCTACAATTATCATACTTCACTATAACACAAACAAATATTTTGCATTTCCCCCTACTAAGTCAAAATTTAAAAACTAATATAATTCAAATAACATACTTTAATATAAAGAATAAATAAATAAAAGGAAAATAGTTTAAAACAAAATATGATGTATTTCAATGTGCAAATCTTTAGACATTACTACCATGCAAGGTAAGAGAGAAGTGTTCAGACGGTCAAACCTATGTATAGAGCCCCAGTGTGATTATTTTTTAAACATTGAGTAATTTTTGGTAATGTTCTGAATAAAACAATGTACAGTCAACCATCAATTTATATGACAGTAGCATTCTTAGAAAATTCATTGTATAATTTAATCACACTCAAAAAATGTTTAATATATGGAAGATGGGCTCTAACCTTAGATAATTACAAACACACCTCTCACTTCATGAAAATCTTTCAGAGCAAGAGACAAATCTTCATCTTGCATTGTTATCCTACATGTTGTAGTAATTTAAAACTTGTCCCTGGGACTGCCTTTCTCACTAAATTTTGATAGGCTCCCCTATCATTATGACAAACAAAGTTATCTCCAAAAAAGTTTCCCAAATGCCACCTAATGGAAGATGTCTTTCCCATTTTGAATAAGTGAATAAATAAAAATGAAGCATGAATTATGTTATAAATCAGTGCCTGAGTTGTATTGTTGGATTCAGTAGTTGAAAGTCAAGCAGACTTGCATCAAAACCCTTCTGCCAGCTTATGTTAGGCCTTTGACTTTAGGCAATTTATATAATCTCAGTCTCTAATTCCTCATCTGAAAATCAGTTATGATGGGAGCAAGGGAGTTGTGAGGTTTTAATGAAATAAAGCACATGAAGCTCACAGTACTACTGTGTGAGACACCGACTGTGTTCAACAATCATTTAGCAACATCCTCGAGACCGTTCTATCCCTCCCATCCTATTTCCGTTCCCTGCAGGGGCAGGAGGACTTGGATACTCTGAGGGTCATTTTTACAGTCAGGGTAGGAATAGATCATGAACCTCTGCTTTCTCTTCAGGGTTTTAAGCAATTTGATTGCTTAGGAATAGCGAATAGGACTCCAGTTTTCTAGCCAAGGAAATGTTTTCATTGGAGTAGTGTTTCTTTCACCCTCTAAATATACAAAACCGTTTTGAGCTGTTTCATGTCCTCAGCAGGGATCAAACAATATTGTAATCAGAGACTCCCCAAAGTAGATTGAACCTGAAAGATTAACTAATGCCCAGACTCCCTCTAGGAAGAGCACCAAAAACAATAATAAAAATAGACACAGTATCATGCATTTAGAATTGAAAGAAAAGTCTAAGACAATTTCTAAGAGATTGATTCTGAATTGAATATATGATACAAATGAAATAGAATTTCCCTTAGGACAAATTTGTTATACTAACGATTGTCTTTTAAGGTATGAGTGTGTGTGTGTGTGTGTGTGTGTGTGTGTGTGTGTGTGTGTATTCACTTTGGTAACTTGAAAGATAAGTTTCATTTATGTTTCTGCAGGTCAATAATGTTTGCAAAATATTTGCTGAACTGCTTCAACCAGCCAAGACACAGCTACTTTCTAAGGAAAGAGATTCCCTGACTAAACCTGCTTATTCTCATTAATATGCTTTTTTTTGGTTTTTAGTTTTGGGTTGTTTTGGGGTTTTTTGTGTGTGTGTCTAACTTAAATTTGTTCTATCACAATGTGCCTGTTTCCTTTTCTTTTGACTACATGGAAAAGGAGACACTTGGTCACACATAGGGACTTAGACCCAGATGCTCTACCTTGCAAACGGAGGAGATCCACACATGGAGAAGTTTTCTTCCTTAGAGTTCCTGTTTTTCACAGGGCATAAATTATGTTAAGTAGCTTGAAAATAGCATTCCTACTTCTAGAACAAAATAAGAAATGACTGGAAGAGTAGGCGTGGTCATGCCAGGCATACACGTTGGTCTCCGGTCCTTTTTCATTATCACAGAATAATTTTATTTAATTTTTGTTTGATTAATGCAGACAACTTAAAAGGAAAATTCATTTCCAATGGCTGCTTGCCCACAATCTGTAGACTATGATTCATTTAGTTCTTGGTTGAGAAACAGGAAAAGGTTTCCATTCCTGCTTGTTTTCCTTTCATTGCATTTGTTGTGTCATGTATTCCATCTTCCCAGGGAAGACTGTACTGGAAAGAAACAAGGTGCTAACTTTCTAACAAGCCAGTTAATTTTACCTTTCTCTCTGCGGTAGGTGAGCGCAGTAATCAATGCCCCTCTGGGTTTGCCTTAGACTCACTTGGACCCTTTTGTACTGGTAAGTATAGAAATAAACAGTGCATTTTTGTTTATAGTAAAATGTTACTAATGGATACCATTTAATGGATATCTATTGCCATTTTGCTATAAAATTTAATCCTTGCAATAGTCCTATAAATGTCCCTTTTTACAGGTGAGTAAATTGAGATGTAAAGAAGTTAAGTAGCGCTTAAGATCACTGAGCTATCAAGAGGCAGAACTGGATTTGAATGTAAGATAGTCACAAAGCCCGTGCTTTTTCAGTTTGGCCACAATCAAGTGAGCATGGGGACAAAACATTGGACTCTGGCCACTTGATGGCCATGGGTACAAAAGAGCAATAATTCAACTCTAAGTTACCCAACCCTAGAGTTGCTCAATTGTGGGCTAGGGCAGGACTGTGGGCCAAAGACTAATGACTAAAACAGCTTTGTCTCATCCAAGTGCCAGCACAAGAGAGTTCCAGGTGAGTAAACAGCTAAGTCAGTGGCTTGAGGAGCTCCAGGTCGCTTAGGCAGACAGAGCCTTACTTTCGCTGGCAGGGAGTGTCACGTAGTATCATGGTTTAACGTGGTCATTAGAAACAGTACTGCCCAGATTCAAATCTTAGCTCTGCCAGTCATGACCTGTGTGACCTTGGGCAATTTACTAAACCTCCTTGCTCCTCGTTTTATCATGCAAATGAGGATAGTAACAAAAACACTTATCTCTTAGGAATGTTGGTGAGCAACGAGTTAAGGTAGGTAGAAAGCATTTAGATCATGATTAAATGGTGTTTTTCACTTAGTTATCATCATAGTTTTAGAATTCATCTAAACATCTATTTGCTATCAAAGATAATTTGATAAAGAAAAAATTAATTTTTATTCAGCGTTTCCATTTTGTGGCACTTTGAGCATTTCTCTTACATTTGATTCAATTCCCTGGTCTCTTTAAACAACTATTTTCACCAACTTTAATAACCCCTACAAAGTAGGGGGTGTACATACTAATCGGGCCTCTTTGTTTCTTCTTTCAGATGAAGATGAATGTGCAACAGGGACGCCCTGCTCCCATGTCTGCCACAATGCCATGGGGACCTATTACTGCTCCTGCCCTAACGGCCTCACCATAGCTGCAGATGGAAGAACGTGTCAAGGTATTTATTCACAAAGCTGAACCTAAGAGACACCCTTCAGCAATGACCATGACAGTCTCCGCCCCAGGAAAAGTGTGACAGACCAATGTTCTTCTTTCCTGGTCTTTCTGCCCCCACGTTGGCAACAATCAGAGGTCTTCCTTAGGTTGAGAAAGTGAGAAAGGTGGAGGAATACTGCTCAGACACCACCTTCACGTGGGGCACTCTGGGGGCAGGGCTGCCTATAAGTGACACACTCACTCCCCACAACACAATGAGGAGAGGCAGGCAGGGCTGTTACCACCCTCATTTTACAATGATGAAACTAAGGAAGAAAGAGGTTATAATGAATTTAAGTAAATTGCACGACCCTGGTAACACTTTGGGAGCATGAACAAAAAACATTTCTATCACACACTAAGTATGCTTCAAAGTTAAAATTGTGTGAGAATCTAGTTTTATAATTTAAAAAAATGATGCAAAGAGCAAAGGATTTCTCCCTCTATGCCCAAGCAGGGTCCCTTCTAAATGCAAAAGACAGACAGAGCCAGGGTATGGGAGGGAAGAGGAATAAGTTGCAGAGTGTCAGTATGGACTGGGTACCTTGTGTACATTATTTCCTTTAATTTTCAAAGCAATGCCAGGAGACCAATATTATTATCCCCATTTTATAGATGAGAAAAGTAGGACTCACAAAGGAGAAGTAACATTTTTTAAGCCCCCTAGTTTATAAGTGGTCTAATGGATGGGTCAGTCTGTGAAGATATCACACCATGCTGCTGAGAGCTTGTCAGCCATTTAACCCACCTGAAATAACTCAATAAAAGAAAAAAATCAGCATTCTTGCTCTTATATATTTTTCAAGTGCTGTTAATTGCTTTTCTTATCCCCATTCACTGCAGGCTCCAAGGTTGATTTTCCTCAACTCACCTTGGTTGAATGACTCACTTTCTTGCAGATATTGATGAGTGTGCTTTGGGTGGACACACTTGCCACGCTGGTCAGGATTGTGACAATACCATTGGATCCTATCGTTGTGTGGTCCGCTGTGGCATTGGTTTTCGAAGAACCTCTGATGGACTGAGTTGTCAAGGTATAAAAATGGAGGCCCTTGCTTTACCTTATTATACTAAGAATGAAGATACCCTGCCCGTTGAATCATTTAAAGTAAACTTTTATCGATTGAGCTTCTTGATGTGATGTTTCATTATAATATTTTATGGCGATTTTAAATATTTGCAGCACAGTGGTTTTGAATATTTGCCTGTTATATTTGAGAGAGGAGATTATACAACATGATCTAATAGAATCTATTTCATAAAAATCTCCAATGCATAAGACTGTAAGAACATTTATTACAGGACTTTTTAAATAGATTTTAGTCTTTAGAACAGGTACAGGTTCATAGCAAAATTGAGTGGAAAGTAAAGAAATTCCATATATACACCCTGCCCAACTCATGCACACCTCGCCTACTATCAACATCCTACACCACAGTGGTACATTTTTTTTTAGCAAGGATGAACTTACATTGATGCATCGTAATCACCCAAAGTCCATAGTTTCCATTAGGATTCATTCTTGGTGTTGTACATCCTATGGGTTTGGGTAAATGAATAATGACATGTATCCTCCATTAGAGTACCATACAGAATAGTTTCCCTGCCCTAAAAATCTTCTGTGCTTGATCTATTTACCCCTCCTTCCCCCAAACCTCTGGAAAACACTGATCTTTTTACTGTCACCATAGTTTTACCTTTTCCAGAATGTCATATTGGAGTCATATAGTATGTAGCCTTTTCAGATTGGCTTCTCTCACTTAGCAATATGCATTTAAGTTTCCTCCATGTTTTTTCGTGGCTTGATCGTTCATTTCTTTTTAGTGCTGAAATAATATTCCATTGTATGAGTGAACCACAGTTTATTTATCCATTCACCAACTGAAGGATGTCTTGGTGCTTCCAAGTTTTAGCAATTATGAATAAAGGGATTTTTCCTTGAGGCAGAAACAGTGGGTACAAAACTGAATGCCTGTCAATAATAAAAGGAATGAAGGACTTATAGAATATCCACACAATAAACCATTGTGCAGCCATTATAAAGAGTAAAATAGAGCTCAACTGTTTGGGTTAGAGGGATTTCCATGAGGAGTTGTTGAGTGAGAACACCATGAAGTAGAAAAGTACATGTAACCTGTGTAGAAAGAATTATGTGACAGGGGAACAAACAATAACCAAACAAAAAAGAAATGGATTTATATATTTAGATGTGTGTGTGTGTGTGTGTGTGTGTGTGTGTGTGTATACACAGAAGAGATATGTTATTATTTATACTAGATAGATAATACAGGTTAGGTTGGCGTTAGCGGGCAAGGGGTAAAACATGATAAGAGACCAAGCAAAAGAGGGAAATGTATCAGAACATCTGTTTAAAGTATATGATCACACTCATGTATTTATATTAACATGTGCAGATTTCAAAAGATTAAATTAAAAATTCTCAAATAGAAAACAGATACAAAATAAGACATTGGCAATCTCAAGTTTGGGGATGAAAGAATGTGAATAGCCTAAATATGGTGATTTTTAAAAAATTATTAAATTAATTGGGGTGGCATTGGTTAGTATTACAAAATTTATATAGGTTTTAAGTGTACATTGTTCTTTTGAAGGGTTTGGAATAGAATAATAAATAAGTGGAGGTGCTTGAGATAAGTATAGACCCGAGAGAGGGATTTTGTTAGGATAGGAAATTTTGGTTATGCCTGTAAGGTATGAGAAAGATGACAGTAAACAGGAAAGACTTTAAAAATATACAAGAAGAGAAAATGAGCAATGGGCCAGAATCCTCCTCTTGGTGAGGAAAGAGTAGATGGGCTGCAGAGCTCAAAAGCTCAAGTTGAGGGACTTCAGTGGGAGCAGAGGTCTCTCTCTTTCTGGGACTAGAAGGTAGGAGAGGGGAGAAGGTGCAAAAAAACAGGCAAGTGCACACGAGTTTGAGGAGTTTCTCCTGCACTTGTTTTTATTACACAATGACCCAGACCGTGTTTGGGAAGATTAATTTGTCAACTGACTACAGATGAGGAGAAACGCTAAGGTTGCTGCAGCCAATCAGGCCCAAGGTGATAAAGACGGAAAAAATGGGGACAAGAGAGGTCAATTGCAGAACATATTACAGAAGACCTTAGCTTGTACTTATTTTTTCCTATCTTCATATTCCAGTCTGTCAGCAACATTCCAGGGCTGACACTTCCTCGAAACAGGAGTGGGAGCCGTACGGGAAAATAGTTCAAGTAGAGGTGTGTTGCGTTGGCATAGTTCCGAGTCACTAGCAAATGTCTACCTTTGAGAAGTATTGAAGGAAGATACCCTCTCCAGCAATTAATTCTATCAGTTGTCTAGTGGATTATATGAGAGTAATTGTATTGGATTCGTTTTATGGAAGATCTTAAACATGATAATTTCAAAGATTGTGAAAATGTTAAAGATTTGGGATAAATGAGCCCAAGTTTCCTAAGAGAATATAATGTAAGTTTTGTTTTATTTTACAGATATTAATGAATGTCAAGAATCCAGCCCCTGTCACCACCGCTGCTTCAATGCCATAGGAAGTTTTCACTGTGGATGTGAACCGGGGTATCAGCTCAAAGGCAGAAAATGCATGGGTGAGGAAAGGTCTTTGAATTCAAAAGCATGCTTCTTTGTAATTTCTTAATAGTGCCTGATCTACTTCATGGCTGTGCCCTGACCCTGATTTATGGATAGAATACCTACCATGCATCATATACTCGTATATAAAATCCATACAAAACCAAAGTTTAAGTAAATGCTATGCGTTAGGGGTTTTATTTTCTAATTACATAACCATTTTTTAAACATTTTCCCTATTACATTTTCCATTTTTTTTACAGAAGTATAATATATAATGTATACATATATAAAGCTATATATAATAGATAATAGCTTATGTATAATATATATAATATATATATGCACATATATATAAAATTTTTATTTTTCCAGGAGGAGGAAATGGTTGGTATGGCTACCAGCTCTATGAAGCAATGTTTTTATTTTTATTATTCTGTTTTAAAATTAAGTGTGTTACATACCTTGATAGATTTAAACAGTTTAACTTTACATGATGATTATCTATAACCACATCTATATTAGTGTAAAATATCCTTAAACCCCAAAAGTATAATTTCTGTGGAAAAGTTGAAGAAATCACTTTCTCAGTCTGCATCACTTTCATTCTTTCATGAAGA